TAGAGGCGAGAGGTGCAAATGAATCTTACACATGGGGTCTTTGAGTAGTTTTTCATTGTTTGTTCCAACATCAATCATGACAGGAAGTACCTAAACAAGCATGTGCCCACAAGTATTGTTTCACACCATCATTAAGAAAGTGGGAAAGCATAGAAAACAGAGGGTATTGTGAGTACCCGTTGAGGATTTATTCCAGCTGCAGCCACATATAAATCAAGCTTCCCTACAGATATCCCAATTCCATGAATGCCTAGATCTCCAAGACCCAGAATCCGGCTTCCATCGGTAACAACAATCATATCAACCTAAAATGCAGAGTGAGTGAAAAAACATCAACACCAGAGAACTAATCCTCAGCTTGAGAATCTCACAAGCACCGAGTCAGATGATATCAAAGGACCTGTTCAGCTGGCCAGTTGTAAACCATTGACATCATTTCACCACGATCTTCAGCGCTAAAATACATTCCCCTTGGCCTCCTAAACAACCCACTGTAGTTCTGGCAGACAAGACCAACCGTAGGCGTGTAAACTATTGGCGCATATTCCTCAATATTTGCAATCAAAACCTAAACACACATTTAACAAAAAAAAAAAACACAATGTAAATAGCAGCAGAAGCAAAATCGTAGACTTTAAGCAGGGATTCCAAAACAAGTTAACCTTATAATACATAGTCTCGTTTCGGTCATGCAAACGATTGAGAATTCGCCACTTAGCGAGGGCATTGGGATCAGAAGGTCCATCTCTTGCTTGCTCCTCCAGCCTCTTCAGGTCAGTCACTGTTTCAGAAACCATGTCAATATATAAGGTAAAAGAAAAGAGGCTTATTATGTTCATAAACAAGAGAAAACTCTACTAGTAACTTACTGAAACGCTGAATTTGCTGCTCAGAATCCATGACATTAGGTGGAAGAAGACCCCTAAGATCAAGACGGTCTCTCTCCGTCATCGTAAACGCAGTCCCCTAGCAGAGAGTTCGGATTTCGATTACAAGCTAAATCAGATTCGAAAAAATTGTCTTCTAGGCTTTGTTTCTGGATCGGATCTATCTATCTCACTGCTTTCAATAAAATTCAGAAGCTCGAGTTTGGGTACCTTGTTGAACCAAGGGTCATGGAGGATGTCGAGGCTTCGTTTGTGGACGATGGTGGGACGGTGGCCTTCCGTCGTGGTGAAAGATCTGGCGGATGAATAGAGTATTCTCCGGTGGAGCATACGGCTGAGAGAAGAACTCAGCCGGAGTTTGTTTCCTATGCCCATCGCTTTCGGCGAGGAATCCGATCTGGCTACACACTGTGTGTCGACTCTCCGTATGTGTGAACGAATGTGCGATGATATGATTTTCAGAGTCTCATTTTCTGTCTTTTTCGTTTCTCTTTAATTTTCTTTTTATTCCGAAGATTCTCATTTCCTTTTTCTCATTTTCTTCCCCCAATTTTAGTTAGTCACGATAAATATAAATATTCCCGACCCAATTTACTGACAATATTATACATTCCCAAGCTCTGTTGACAAAAGAAAAAAATTAAAACTATTTTTCTCTTGTAATTCTTCTATGGATCAATGGCTGAGATGTTCTTCTCGGTTCAAAAATGATTTAATATATTCCTGTTATTTTTGTATTATTTGATAATATTTATTTTAAATAAAAAAAAGGAGTAGATATCGATTATGTCCTTACAAACTTAACAAAATTACTGACCCAACTAAGAGAAACCCACCCAAACTGTAATCCGCCTATATATCGCGGATCCTAAGTCGGATCTAACTGTTAAAAACTGCATAAAATCATCCTTCATTTTCTCAATCGATCAAAAGTAAATTAGGACAAAAAATTTAAAAGAAAAAAACGGACGAAACGACGGTTGACCCTAGTTCGTCGGGACCACTACGAGCAGTTACTAAGAAAAACTAAGTCAAACTATCTAACTCCCACCACAGCAATCGATTTGTAGGCGAATCAGAGAAGGTAAGTGTCGTAATCTTGTCGGTTTTGTGAGATGGATGTCGATATAGATTCCATTGTAACCGATTTGGATTGATCATGTAGGCATATGGCGCGTACAAAGAGGCCGAATTATGGTTTAACTGATGAGGTTCCATTGGAGGTTCGAAGATCTAAGAGAACCTCTCAGGTGGTCTATGAAGACTCGGACCCAGAATCTTCAGATAACGAAGAAGCAGGAGGCAACGATGGAGGCGACGGAAGTAGCCGAACCGTCATGGACGACGGCGCGTCCGGTTCTTCAATGGTATGTACTCGAACCATTGTTACTTGGTTTTTGAGTTTGGAAGAATTCGTTGGTTTTGGGTATCGAGTTTGCTTAAAGTACTTTCGTTTTGGGTGATTGATTGTATAGCGAGTCTTTGTTTCTAATTTAGAATTTAGGCTATCAGGTTTTCATTTTCGTTAATTGTTGATTGTTTGTTTCGAATTAGTAATATTCTGAGTTTTTAGTAAAACTGGTAAAACTGGTAAAACTAGGGTCATTTCGTATGTTAAGAATTTCTGGAAAAAAAGTAATACTTGGTACAACTATGTTGCAGGGAACCGAGCCAATGCTTCTGATGGAGATGTACTTCCAGCCAACGGAGTACGTGAAAAAGATCAAGCTGTCTACAAGGTGTTATATCTCGAAAGCAGTGGATTTACTGCTAAGTGGATTAAAGTATCCACTTAGACCAGAGGAGAAGAGTTGGTTTGTGGATCACCCCCAATTCAAACATTTCTTCCACATGCACAAGGACTCAAACCACAAGTTAATGGGGACGTGGTTGCTGATTCTTTGAACGGCGGTTACGGAGAGGAAAAAGGAAGCCTGGTTCATTGTGAATGGCGTGCCCATTCGGTATGGTCTACGTGAACACGCCCTCATCTCCAGTTTAAACTATCGCAGCTATCCTCCTAACTATTCGGAAATGGGCAGTATGGAGTTCGTGGAGAAGCACTTTGGGGCGGGGAAAAAAGTAAGATACTCAGATGTGAAAGAAAAGCTGGAGAAGATCGGTTAAAGATGGCCATCCTTTTCTTTCTATCAAGCGTCATTATTGAGCAGTCTAAGACAGGAGGTGAAGCTACTTGTGTGGAGCGGTTCTTTCAACGAGCAGTCAGTGATCTGCATTTGTGTAGGACATTTCCCTGGGGGAGATTGTCTTTTGATAACAATATGGAAGAGATCCAGCATACTGTGGATCAGTTTAAAGGGGTTGTTAGCGGATCAAATTGGACTTATCCAAGCTTCTGTATTCCTTTGGAGGTAAATATGAATATATGTAGTACTTGTATTTCCATAGATTTGAAGCTAACTCGAAATATATGTGGCATATGTAGCTTCTAGCGTTTGAAGCAATTCCATCACTGAAGAAGAAATTCCGAGAAGTTGTTCCATCTGCGAGGAAAACTTGTCCGAGGATGTGCAAGAGCAAGTTCAAAAAAAGCGCCATGAAAGGATTTTCTCTCGAGGAAGTAAATGAAGCACTTGGTACAACTAAGGTCAGTAATACTTTTAAATTTGCACACTTTTAATTTATTTATGATTGGAATTGCACTCTTTGTTTATATCCACAGGAGATTGATAGCATCTTGGTCCCTTATAATGAGGAAGAAGCTTTTGTGGCTCGAGTGACTGAAGAAGATGACGATGATGATGTCGATGATGCTGTTGTTCATAGTTGGTTGAAGTGTATTAAAGATGAAGACAAGCCGGTCTGTTTTGAACAGATGTACGAAGAAGACGTGGCCACCCGACTAGAAGAGCAGCCCACGAACGCCGTCAATGCCGCGAACGCCGTGAATGCCACCAATGCCTCCACTGGTTCCGTCTCTGACTTTGTTGAGGTCGTACAGAGGCTGAAGACAGAAATGGAGAGTGGGTTCAAGAAGATGAATGACAAGTTTTCTGGGTTCGATACAAGACTTGCAGCAGTGGAAGGCTATGTGAAAGAACAATTAGATGCTCGAAGCATGTATGAGGACGTCAATTATGATGATTACATTCCTCGTTCTAATGTGAATAACAATGATGGAGCAGAAGGAGCAGAGGTAAGATTTGGTTGACTTAGACCTCTAAACGGAAAAGTAATACTATGTAACACTAAGTACAACTTTGCGTTTTGCAGGGAGAAGAGCAAGAGCAAGAAGCAGAGGTGGCGGAAGCAGATGAGGGAGCAGAGAAGGAGTTGGAGACAGGCGTTGAGGAACAAGAGAAGGAGGCAGAGAAGGAGGCGGAGAAGGAGACAAGCGTTGAGGAACAAGAGAAGGAGGCAGAGAAGGAGGCGGAGAAGGAGACAAGCGTTGAGGAACCAGAGAAGGAACAAGAGAAGGAACAAGAGGAGGAAGAGGCAGAAGAGGCAGAGGAGGAAGAGGCAGAGGAAGCAGAAGAGCGAAGCGGTAATTCTCCTTCAATAATGCGATGTAGCAGTCTTATAAGAGTAGGAGGCAGATTGCTGAAGGTCCCTAACAAGTCTGTGGCTGCTGTTTTATCTAAAGCTAAGGAGATAGAGGAAGCTAAGGAGGCAGAGGGAGCGAAGGAGGCAGAGGGAGCGAAGGAGGCAGAGGTAAATTTTGTAATTCTTATACCCTAAAACAGAAATGTCACACTATGTAACACTAAGTAAAACTATTTGTGTTTGCAGACAGAAGGGTCATCTTCCTCCGCGGTGGGTAAGCAGGTGTATCGAAGGAAAAAAAAAGATCACAGTTCCAAGTGGAGAAAGAGGCAGCCGACGAACCCCAGAAGAGGAAGATAAAACGTTTCCAGCATGTGCGACCTCCTTACACAGAGGAAAAGGCCAAGAGGGGCAGGAAAAAATAGTCTAGTTGGACTTAAAACATTTTCTATTTTGGTTTTCAGTTGGACTAAAACTCGAATGTTGATATGTTGTTTTGTCGTTAGGATTTAAAGTTTGGATTTAATGTTTGGATTTAAACGTATTTCATTTGGTATGGTGTTTTAATTTGTTTGATTTGGATTTCGAATGTTTGATTTGATTTGATATAAACACTAAAAATAGTTATAAAACATTAAAATGCAAGGAAACGTTAGTCTTGAACAACAATTAAAACAACAATTAAAGGAAATTGCAGATTCGTTAAGTCTTGAGCTTCGCTATCTTTTTGGCTTGGATCTGAATCTGTTTTCGCATTTCTTCAATCGTCTTGCTCTGCTCTTCAACTTTCATAACTAGTTTCTCAATCTCTTGTTCGACTCCGAAAACCCATGGCTGACGAAAGTGGAGTCCATCATCCTAGCAAAGAAACAAAAAAACGAGCAACATCCATTATAGTTATACCTAGTATTCCAAGTTTTACACCCGAAGAACATCTAAATAGTTTAATCTAGTTTTAGTAGTTTTACCCAAAAAAAACCCAGATCTGAAATTATAGAGATTATACCTTAAATTTGGTGCAGGTGAAGTACCTACTGCCTGGTTGAGTATCGAAATCGTGTTAAATTTTGGAGAAGGAGATACATCGTGCTTGATAGATCCACCACATGGGCATCTTCTCGGAATCCCATATTGGCCGTCGGCGACGAATCCAACCATGTCCGAATGCTGCTTCATCTTCTCCATTTCCTTGCGGCGCCTCTTCTCTTCCTTCAACTCCTCCTCGTATGGGTCGATGAGGAAATTGTCCGTGTAATGATAGCTACAATCCGAATCCATTTTAAGAGAGAGAGAGAGAGATCGACTAACCTAAAGAGATAAGAAAGAACGAACCCTAGAACCCTAAGAGAGAGAGAAGGGAGGAGGAAACTCGAATCTGAGAAGTGAAAGAAATCCTAGGACCCCGATTTCTACAATTTAACTTAAACCGGGAAAAACTGTCCTGAATTTCCAAAAATTTCCCGCTCCCCACCAAAATAACATGTGCGCCGTTTTTTACTTACGTGGACGCCGCCAAAATTACACTTAATAATCCGTAGTTTTTTAGTTATACTATTTTCAAATAGTTGTACTTTTGAGTGTTTTTAACTTTATATAGTTATACTCCGCAATAAATTTCCTGTTTGTAGTTTTACAGATGATTTTAGTCCTTCTGTTGTTAAGCCTAAGGGTTTTATGCATTAAAAATGTTTTAAAACTCATCGTATCTGTCTATGGCTTCATATGGTGGTTAGTATTTAGAAAGTGTTCATAGAAGTGTATGGTGTTTGTTGTGTAAATGTTTTTTATTTGATTGTTTCATATTGAATGTAGGTTTTTCTAATAATTTTAAAAATAAAATATAACTCTAAATAAACTAATACAAGATTTTTTCATATCGAATGTTCGAAATTCAATTAAAAACAAACATACTCTTGAATACATTAAAAAAAACCGTCTTAAATACTATCAGTTGCACCAGTTGTTCCAAGTGTTCTGAATACACAAAATAAACACAAACGAGCTACACAGCATCACCAGCCTCACCAGCCTTACTATTACCACTAAAGAAATATGACCACATCCCTCCTCTTCCCCTTCCTCTTCCTCTCCCTCTCCCTCTTCCTCGGTGTTCTCCAGCTGATGGGAACCGGTTTTCTTGAGGTCTTCCTTCCTTTGCGACATAATCTGGTGTTATGACAACCAGGTTTTGTATATGATCAGGAATAATCCAATCAGACCTGTGTGGTACTGGATAAATCGTCCTGCAGCACGCTAATGTCCATAGCTCCATCCAATAATATTTCGAGCAAAACTCTTGTAGATGAAGTTCCCGGCCTCCGCTCATAAAGATAGCAGCAGCTATTGCATGCACACAAGGGTATCTGTCTATATCAAAATATTTGCAACTACAGCTTTTCCTTTTCATATCAACCAAATAACACTTGCCGTCTTTTCCAATGACACTGAATTCAAGGAATAAGGCGTTCAACTCATGCACCGTTAATTTCTTTGCTTCCGATGATCTTTTATGCAGTTCTTTCTCCACATAAGGCACAAGCTTCTGGGTGCTTGATACTTCAGAAGAACTGTTCCTATGCTTGTTAAACCATTCAGCCATCTTATCAATAATCACATCAATCATTGGTAATAGAGCGTACTTCCTTGCTTTCCTAAGAACACCATTAATAGATTCTACAATATTGGAGGTGTCTATGTTGTACCTTTCTCCTGGAAAATAGCATCTTGCCCATTTGTCCACATGAACACTACCATCCAGATACTGGGCTGCGGAAGGATACTTGGTTCTAAAAACATCAAAAAGTGTCAGAAACTCACTCTCTGTATACGCATGAGCGCATTCTTTGAACTTCAGAATGCATATATCTTTGTTGACGTAGTAGATAATCGCTTTTACATTCTGAGACAAATGTTGAATACAATACCCATGTTGAGACAACGGAAACACCTCCTGCACAGACTTGATGAGGCTTGAGTTTCTATCAGAAAGAAACACCAATTCAGGATCATCCGGTATCACTGATTTCAACCTGTTCATAAACCACATCCAACTAGCATCTTTCTCACCATCAACTACACCAAACACAATTGGATAATGGTGATGATTAGGATCTTGAGCTGTAGCAACTAACAAAACACCACCATATCCAGTCTTAAGGTGGGTTCCATCCACAACAATGACTTTTCTCATGGCTTGGAATCCCTCAATACTAGCTCCTAACGCAAAGAATAGGTACTTGAACTTTTTATTTTCGTCCAATTCCACATAAGTCTGTGTACCAGGATTCATCGACTCCAGCATGTACATATAGGAATACACCAACTGGTAACTCTCGGCTGGACTTCCCCGCACATCATTTGCAGCTTGTTTTTTCCCCCTCAAAGCAGTAGAGTATGATACTTTTACCCCAAGTCGTCCTTGAACCATATCGATCAGATGTTTTGGAGTTGGAGTGTCAAATTTACCCGGATAATCTTCATGCACAACAGATGCAACCAAACCCGGTGTCCCTTTCCTTTTATTCCTGACTGTAACTGCAGAAGCTCGAGAGCATGTATGCATCTTGTTGTAAGTTCTTACCGAGAAACAATCTGATTCCATCAACTTTGCAGCTCATAAAGACCACTTGCAACCTTTTTTTGCTTCGCGGCGTATCGCTTTTTGTCAGACTTGATTGTATCAACCTCAAAAAATTCTGATGTGAGCCTACATGAACTAAATCTTGCACTGTCTTCTTACTTCTAAATTCTTGACCTACAATCATTTCAATACCATCTTCCCAGCCATTATTTACCGCTACTTCTTCTATAGCAGGTCCATACTCAATACCATCAACCTCTTCCATGGACACATTTCTTTGTTCTGCTTGATGGCCTTCTGATGGTTCACCACCATGAAGAGTAATTATACCAGCATTAACATCCATACCACTTGAAAACACCTGCTCATTACCTGGACCATTTACACTTTCGCGATCCTCTCTTGAAGGCCGCACAACACCCTGATCGACATCTTCCACGATCTCCACGTGCAAAGCACTTCTACATGTATCGTTATTCACGTGCATCAGGTAGCTAAAAACATTATCATCATTCCAGATATATGATGGCTTAGGATCCACTACCAATGGAAAGTAACTGACTTTCAGCTGCGTATTAGCTTCATTTATCTTCATTTTCTTGCATATTCCACTGATCAACCCAGCATAAGTTACCTCCTCAACAAACGTCTTCATCACTAAGGTGTGAATTTCATCTTCTCTTGATACCCATCTTATGACATCACTTTCCTTTGAATAAGATCCCCTATAATCGAAGCATATAATAGTGAAACGACTTATATTCATTGTCCCCTGAACAAAAATAACAAATATCATTAGTATATGTCTCAATCGTATCATTTCTCTCACTAATACAAGCAGTAATACTAGTCCAGTTGTACCCAGTTGTTCCCATTTCTAAACAATGCTCAGTAATACCAGTTGCTCTCAGTAATACCTGATGTCTTAGTAATACCAGTTGGTCCAGTAGTACTCTGTTCGTGTACCCAGAAAATTTCTATTTATCTACGAATCTCCAACGATTTACTACGAATCGGGATGATTTGATGTTCATTTAACGATTATAACTGCTCATATTTACCGACCTACAACTCTTAGCAAAGAATTTCAATTATTAATTCATCCACAGAAAATTCAGAACAATGGCGCCCTTGGAAGACCAAGAGCAACAATGTGTAGTACTCCCTATTATTCTAAAATTTATAGCGTATGTAAAGGAGATAATGTGGCAAAAGACTCACCTTATAAAGTTCCCATATAGCTTCAAGATGGAGAATGTTGGATTTTGGGAAACAGAAGGAATGAAGAATCCGCCAATCAGTGAAAAGGACCATGAAGAAGATGAAGATGTAGGGCCCGTAGGTAGTTGAGATTTAGTTGAGAATTAAATTAAAATATTATGGATTTGTTTTTCTTTTTATTTATTTTATTAATTTTGGATATTATTATTTTATTGAAGAAGAGTGAGGGCAAAATAGAGAGAAAAATGATGGGAGGGCATTGAGATTAAGAAAGGGATAGTCAGATTATTTTCAAACACTTAAGGGCATATTGGCTCTATGTCATTCTTCTATCCTATCAACTAAGATCATCTCCACTGCAAAAAACCTATCATGGCTTCTCATCATTATTTTAATTATAAATTTGTAAATTTTTTTAAGTTAAGAACCTCTTTAAAAATAATTAAAGTTGTATGTTCCAATGGTAAAATTTTACTTGAGGTTCTGAAGAATAAAAATATATTATTTTGAAAATATATAATATTTTAAATAAAATTGATCAAATAGATTGTTGTTGCGTTCATCGTACATCAAGTGAGCTGGCATTGAGATTTTCTTTCTCATCATTTCTGCAAAAGCCATGGCAGTACCATCAGGATCAATCTCAAAGAGCTTTTCAGCTATCTTGGTGTAGGGTTTCATGATGTTTCTCGTCTGCAGCTCTCAACCTCCCTCCAGCAACCAATAAAAAAGTGTCATCAGCATTTAGTTAATACTCCATTGAACCTATCAGGAAAGGTCTTATTTTCGATGCACATAGAAAAACCAAAAACACTTTAGAACCTATCTTAGATTTTGTTGTTAGGAATTGGGATAGTGCAAGCCTCTATAGCCTATTACATCACCTTAGTAAGAAACAGAGAGAGAGAGAGACTTAACCTTTAAAACCTTGAAGAAAATCTCTGTATTGGCTTTTTTTCTGCGATAGGCCAATGAGAAAGTTTTATGTCCTCCTGCAAGTTACAGATAAATTAAACACTTACACATACAGTTCTTGGAAAATAACCACCGCATCTCTCTTACTAGAGTGTATAAAAATTAATTGTATTTTCAATGAGAGTTGCAAAGTTGTGAATTAGCAAAGTCATTATGAAACTGAGCAGATGATGGTTAAAATTACAGGTACAAATTATCACAAAAGTTCTAAATCAATAAGACTTTTCTTAATCAGAGAAACAATTCATCAAATCAAAACACAATAAACCAAATTTTCAAAAACACATTTACCAATTGACAAGAAGACACAAGCGAACTTGGTATATATGAACTGGCTTTGCCTCACAATGATGGTTAAGACTACATGCACAAATCATCAAAAAAGTGATGCAGTAGCAAACTAATCATTTCCACATCAAAAAAACTATACAATCCAAACTGACTCTGAGGTTGAACTTTGATAATGTAACACCTAAAAACAAGATAACACCACAAATATCTA